CTTGCACGTCAGCTACAGATTTTGGTAAAACCTCACTTGAGCGCAAATTTTTGCTAACCTGCTCATGGGAGGTTAGTTCACCCACCTGAGACAGATTCTGCGTACGCCGCAGCTCACGCTCCTGAACTAAATTTACAGGGAGGTCAGTTGGAGTCGTAAACACGACATCCATCTCCTCTGTAGACTCGCTCCTGTACTAAATTTACAGGGAGCTCCATTGGAGTCGTGAACTCAACATCCATCTCCTCTGGAGACTCGCTCCTGAATTAAATTTACAGGGAGGTCAGTTGGAGTCGTAAACTCGACATCCATCTCCTCTGTAGACTCGCTCCTGAACTAAATTTACAGGGAGGTCAGTTGGAGTCGTAAACTCGACATCCATCTCCTCTGTAGACTCGCTCCTGAACTAAATTTACAGGGAGCTCCGTTGGAGTCGTGAACTCGACATCCATCTCCTCTGTAGACTCACTTCTGAACTAAATTTACAGAGAGGTCCGTTGGAGTCATAAACTTGACATCTATCTCCTCTGCGTGGACTCGCTCCTGAATTAAATTCACAGAGAGGTCAGTTGGAGTCGTAAACTCGACAACTATGTCCTCTGCAGACTCGCTCCTGAACTAAATTTACAGGGAGGTCAATTGGAGTTGTGAACTCGACATCCATCTCCTCTGTAGACTCACTCCTGGATTAAATCTACAGAGAGGTCAGGTGGATTAGTAAACTCGGTATCCATCTCTTCTGTAGACTCGCTCCTGAACTAAATTCACAGGAAGGTCCGTTGGAGTCGTTAACTCAACATCCATCTCCACTGTAGACTTGATCCTGATCTTAGTTTACAGGGAGGTCAGTTGGAGTCGTAAGCTCTACAACCATCTCCTCTATAGACTCAGCGTCAGAAAAAAATTTTAAGTTCACTTTGTCCATAAAAGTCCCACGAATAGCTAGAGAAAGAAGGTCAATCACGGCAGTGCCCCGCATTACCGTGACAAGGCGATGCTACGACGAGAGGCGCCCGGTATCTCGAAGGTTCCATAGAGACAGCTGATAGGCTCAGTGTCATTCATCCTCTCGGCACCGATACACACACCTTAGGATTAAGCCATTGTTGAAATGCCATTCAGTTAGGGAATAACAGAACCACAAGTGATTCTGTCATCCCCGTATCCAGCAGGGCTACGTGGAAGCACGCATCCGATGGCCGGTTTGCTCAACCCCCACATCCTAAGCCAATGCACTCGCCGAAAACAGCATGCGCAGTGATTCAGGCAGTGAAAGATGAACAAGGACAGCCAACCCGCCGATTTGTAGGCTTAGTAGAGGTGTACACTTCAGGTATCCCTCACAGAAAGAAGTTTATCAGTGTGAGATCAGGTGATATAGCTGGCCACTCCACTGGACCCCATATTGGAAGACGTTCGTCCAAAAACTGTCTCACTCGAACATCAAAATGTGGGGGTGCATCATTCTGCTGGAATGTTATTTCACTGTCTACTAAATTGTCATAATTTTCTGAAATCTGTATAATCATAGAATCTACACAGTCTTGCAATACACACACCGGAAAAGTCTAGGGATATTTTTATAACATACTAAATATCATAAAACTAAATGCATGAGGTCGTTTAATTTCGATTAAATTGGTACACTCGACCACCCTGTAGATTTCTATGGGTTGAACAAAGCCTGCAAAAACGGTAACTAATCTTTCATCAAGTTTTTTACAAACTGTAGGTTTTCATTTTTTTTTTAGTTCAGAAATGTACGACACAATTACGTTTCGAAATTATTGAACAATTTTATGGAAACTGGATCTGTTAACAATAGAAAGCATAACCGTTCAGGAGTTGTCAACGATGATGCTATATGTGCTGCAGTTTTAGGGCCCGTTTGACTAATGGAAAATTCGAAATTTTTCACTAAGTTATCTCGAGAATCAGGAATCAGTCCTAGAAATGTTTCCAGGATCCTTCATAAGTACAAATTCCATCCATATAAGATTAGACTAGTTCATGAATTGATCGAAGATGATTTCGATAGACGTATCGAGTTTTGTAAAAGTCTCACTGAACGGGTCAACTTGCATCAGAATTTCTTGTATAAAATTTGATTTTCAGATGAATGTAAGTTTAGTTTGAATGGAGAGGTGAATCGGCAAAATTGTCGATATTGGAGTGATACGAATCCTTATTTATACCGCCAAGTTCATACCCAACGACCTCAAAAACTGAATGTTTGGGCAGGAATTTTAGGTCACCACATCATATGACCTTTTTTATCGATGATAATTTGACTAGTGATAAATATTTGGATATGTTGGAGGATCGAATAATACCGTGTATCAATAGGGCGATTGGGGAGGATACATATTTATTCGAAAACGAAATAGTTTTTTAGCAGGATGGTGCACCTCCTCATTATGCAGCTCCAGTGCGACAATTTTTGTATGAGTGGCAAAAGAGGGGTCATTTGAAGTCTAAAGTGTATGAGATAGCATCAACAACACTAGAAGATTTGAGAGAGAATATCATGAAGCATCGCAGAGAAATAACTCCCGAGATTCTCACCCTTGTGAGGGCGGCAATGAAAGCTCGTTTGTACCATTGTATGGAAGTTGGTGGAAACGTTTTGAACATTCACCATAGAAAATGTTTTTCTTCTCATTGTCCAGTCATCAGATTTTGATTCAAGAATTATTAGAAGATCTCTTTTTCTGATTCATTGCTTCCATATTTGTCTCTAGAACGAATATTTCTAAATGTGGCCTTCTGTATAAATGGTGACCTATTTTTTGAATTTTTTCTACAAATTATTGTTTCAAAAGTTATTCAGGGTGGCTCGTTTTCAACTCAAATAATTTGTAGCTTCAGGGTGGCTCGTTTTAAATGAAATGCACTGTATATACAGTGTGTAACAACGAAAACTTAACAGAGCCGTTTTTGAATATAAAAAATAAGATTTTTAAAATAAGCTCAGACACGTCGATTTCTAATTAAAGGGGGACACCTTTCAGACTAATCAGATTTTTTGTAGTACGCACCGCCTCGGAGGGGTGCGTCCGACGACCCCTATTAAGATAGGGAAATTAGGTCGAGTGGCACCTTGTTTTAAAAATCTTTCAAATACCTTTACATATCTGTTAAAAGAAAATTTTTGTAACGATTAGTTTTCGAGATGATTTGAAGATTTAACGGTATTTTTATTGAGTTCAACTCTTTTTAAATTGGATCAAATTGTTTTTGAGGTACCATTTACGTTCAGAACTTTCATAAAGAAAATAAATTTTTGCTTTTTATGACAACCTGCTAATACGTGTATATTTGATTTCGTAAAAAAGTAAGAGTTATTCGTTTATTACGAGGAGATTTTTTGGGGGTTGGGGTTGGTTACCACCCTTACATTTTAGGTAAATTGAGTGACATGAAGGTTGCCTTTTGACATGGATATTTTATGCTTCTGATAAAAAAGTGAATCATACTAAAAACGTATCTACACAACGAATACAACCTACTGATTTCCTTGAATGCTGATGACACAGAAAAGTTTAAAAAACTATTTTAGGGTTAATAAATCCCAATAATTGTTTTTAAAGGACACACAAAAAAACTAACACCTGATAAGGGTAACTCACATAGGAAATTCAGAGTAAATGTTCAAAATGTGCGCCATTTTGCTCCATGCAACAATAAAGATTGTTCGAATTTTGCTCTTACATTATTCAACATCTCAGGAGTTATAGCTCGGCATTCATCAATAATTCTACGACGTAATTCATCAAAATTTGCTACCTGTGTAGCATAAACTTTAGACTTTAAATAGCCCCACAAAAAGTAGTCCAGTGGTGTTAAATCTGGTGATCGTGCTGGTCATTCAATTGGACCTCTTCTGCCAATCCATTGTTCTTCAAAATGTTTACTTTAAAAATTTCGAATTTTCGAATGTTCGAATTTCGAATTTTCAACCACAATGGATAGATTGAGAGATATTTTCTCTAGATTTGGATTGCCCAAAGTTATCGTGAGCGACAATAGTCAACAATTGACTGCAGAAGAGTTTTCCTATTATTTGAAATTGAATGGAATAAAACACATAACAACTGCTGCTTATCACTCAGAGCAATGGGGCTGCTGAGAATGCAGTTGAATTAATGAAAAATGCCATCAGCAGTATGAAATCCAAAAATCCAGAAGCGAACCTAAATTTCATTATCAATCGTTTTTTATTCAAATATAGAAATACGGAACATACAACCACTGAAAAAGTCCAGCAAAAATGTTATTAGGGAGAAAATTAAGATCACAATTAGATTTATTGTTTCCAGTGAGTCATAACATAGCCGAAGAAAAACAGCAGAATCGAATAAAAAATTTCAAGGGACATAGAAATGTGAGTTTTAAAGAGGGAGATGATATACTGATGAAAGAATATAGTAGGGGCAATAAACCTATTTGGTGTGTAGTATTTTGGTTGATAGAAATTATATAGTTAAAAATAAGAACACGAACTTGAAGTACAAGAAACATATAGATCAATTATTGGCAGATAATAATAACAAAGGTCATAACACAGGAAACAAAACTTCTAACAGTAATTCATCTCTTTCATTGTTTTCGGATGTTGCATATGACATTCAACATAATAATGGGAAATATCTTCGAACGCCTGATATTCTCAGTTCAAATGATGTAACAATCAGTTCAGAAGTGAATCTAGCTGAAGGTGAACTCTCTTCTATCTCTGCGGACAGCTTTCACGAAACTTGAGACCTCGAGACCAAATAGATTTTCTCCTTCGTTAAAATCTGTTTACAGGAAAGGATGATGTAATGTATTATTGACTAGGATATGCCACTGTTTTTGTTTGATATATTTTATATTTTCTTTTTATGCGTTTACAAAAAGATCGAGTAGTATTTTTTTGGGAAACTGGTCTGACGGGTCATTATAATATTCGTTCCAAGTGTGTATGCACATCAGTAATGTTCATTGATGAATGAACCTTATTCGGGAAATGAATGGTTTTATTTTTCCTCGAACGTACATATCAATATACATAGAATGAAAATTCAGAAAGTTGATGAATTTTCTATAATTAAATATCAAAAAAATTAATTAAGCAGTCATAATGCTTTGGTAGTCGTCCTCTACGACTACCTCACACTTGAGGAATTCTATGAGTCTTAGCCAGCTCCCTGAAAAAAATTGTAGATTTTTTGGGGGTCCTAGTTCTTTGCGGGTCACTGAAGTTCACATGATACAAACCGAAATGGTAGCTGAAACATAAAAAATGATTCACAATATACCTTCCATTGTTATTGATTCAATAAGTTCACCTGTAACCACCAGTCCATTCGAAGTTGTCCATCAAGCTCCAAGCAGTGAACCCAAAAATTCGCATTCCATCTATGTACATTGCATCAAGAATGGCGTCAAGATAATCCTGGAATGAAAAACCACTAAATATCTTCAAAATCTTTCAGGAAATTAGGGCGATGACATCTCTTCTCACAAATGCCTCATCTATGGAATCGACAGAAGACTCAATACACGAATTTGAAAGATAAAAAGCAGCCGAGTGATTGGGATAAAGCTCAGATAAATAATAACAATTATAAAATAGTACATTAGTAGTAAAATAACACTTTTAAATCCAATTGGTCATTCATTGAAATGTTAGAGTTTTTAAGTTGATCGATTTTCATTGCTTCCAAGTAGTTTAGTTTTTAACCTTTATTTTCTGTGTGTAAAATTTTGAAATCCCCGTTAAAGAAATCATTTTCTTCTGAAAAATGATTGGGATATGTGGAAATTGTTTTCTCATTTACATTACTGGATGTTCCTGGATGCCATTCCTGAATGTTCTGCCAGTTTGACCAATATATACCTTAGGACAAGTTCCACAATTTGTTTTATGTACTCCTGATTTCTCGAATTTGGATGTTTTGTCTTCCCAACGTATATGCAATTTTAATATATTATTTATTCAGAAATCAATCCACTTTTTCTGTTGTTGATTTCTTAAAAAATACTTCAGCAGATTATCTATTGATTTAGCTTCATTTGTTTTTCAATTTGTGAAAGGTTATATACCAAAATAACAATAAGAAGTATTGGGTCTCCCACAAAATATGTGTTTCAAAGAAAATTATTCAATTAGTTTTTTAAATGAGTAGACCAATTTCTCATTTGAAAACCATATTGACGAAAAAACCCAAGTTCAATCGTAACTACGACTTATTGCATTAGTAAGGAAACAATTCCAAACTCAATCTTTTGGAATACTTAGAAATCGATGTATTCAAGGATTGGAAAGTATTACTTAATGACCAAAAAGTTTTAAATTTTCCTCAATTAAAATTGTTCCTTTAACGGTAAAATTAATAATCAGGGTAATCTGAGGTCACAGGTAGTTTTGTATATTTTATATGTCCAGCTTTATGGATTTGTTCTTAGAATGATAAAAATTTATCATTATCATATCAAATTAGTATATTGCATAAAAGCGCGATGTAGAGATTGTTAACACCTGAAGAAGCTTATTATATAGTGAAACATGTGTGACAGTTGAATAAACTGTTGAATCAAAATCCAACAACATATTATTATAGGTTTATTATTAATATTAGAAGAAAACATAATATTTTATCAGATAATAAGCGAAACACGTCGTTAATTTTCAAATACTATCCGTCACAAATGCTTTGCTGATATAAACACGTATCTCTCAAGGTCGCGCACCAAATATTTCAGTTTGAATTTTATTACTGAATAGTTTTATCTATACCATACGGTCATGGACTAATTTGCGAGCTTATCGCACTCTGCAAAGCTGTTACTAGGTCAGACCTGTACTCGCCAACATTTCATTTTCAACTGAGTTCATAAACGCTTATGTAAATAAAGACCAAAATCTGGATTGCACAACGGCAGATTTCATCATTAGTGTGTGTGTTGACTTCGAGATATAAGTTCGTCCTCGCAGTCAACGCATATATCACTGATGATGTCTGCCGCAACAGCAGACGAAACGTTTGATCCATTCGACCACGGCCAACTAGCCTGGATTATGCTCTCTTGAAGCACGATTTCAACCTTGAAAGCCTATGTTCTTATATTGCTTGTGTATATACTTACTGTATAGAAACTAATCCTGTCGTCATCATCCAAGGACGTTCCATCGTCGGACACACCACACTCTGTTATGAAAATGTCTGGGTTATTGTAAGTCTTCTGGATCCACTGCAGCATCTTTCTTACTCCCCATGGTACAATCTTAAAATAATATTTCACCAAAAATGAATTTGATTTTTTCCAGAAAAAACAACTTTTTGTAAGCATCGGCTACAAATTCATATTGATTGTACCTTGTATATGATATTCAGTAGTTCATGGCCTGACTTTCTACTTCTCCATCATTATATACAGAAAAACAGAAAATTCGCTGTCGTTCATTTCAATGAGGAAATCAACAACAAATAATATCGGTGCCAACGAAATCAACGGATAAGTTGTTCAAAATGACCTCCACCTAGTTCCATACAATAGTACAGTCTACTCTCGAAAGCGTTCCGTAAATTATTCAAGATGTCAAAAGTCAGCAATTGGCATTCTCGAACAATTCTCCGTCGCAGGTCTTTTGGATTTGTAGGCTCAGTAGAGTACATTTTCGACTTCAGGTGTATCCACAGAAAGAATTCCATCGGTGTGAAATCAGGTGATCTAGCTGGCCACTCTACTGGACCAAAACTGTCTCACCCGAACATGAAAATGTAAGGGTGCACCATCCTGCTGGAATGTTATTTCATTTTCTTAAATTTGTGTAATCATAGGATCTATACAATTTTGTAAGAGATTTAATTATCTGTCTCCATTAAGATTACCTTGAATGAGGAATGGTCCAACAATACGATTATCAAGAATTTTCGTCTGGAAAACGTTTATTGTATTATAGTTTTGGGTTAATCGCTGAACACCTTACAAAACTGAAGTCGACGATCAGGATTATCTTCGTTTAATTCCTAAACTGGCCTTATTTTGAAAGGATGGAATTAGTAGGCTTTCAAAATCCGAAAACCACTAGTAGCTGATACACCAGACGCTCTAGCTACTTGTCTGAAAGATTGTCGATTATCCATTTGTACATGTCGTGTTTTGAACAAAACCTGAAGTTCAAAACGTATTGATGTGTCATATTGTGGTCTGGATATATCGTATTATAAATTCTTGCAGCAGCTTTAGCACATTCATTATTTCGAAAACAGATTGTAACAATTTCTATTCTTTCTTCAGTAGAATAAATCATGTTGGTGAACAGGGATGACTGAATGATAATTCGTGAAGAAGTGGCAGTGGCCAACTATCTACTTTTTGTTCTGCGACAACTAGATTCTAGAAAAACTACCAGTGCAGAAAAAACTAAGTGTCGTCCGTTTCAAAACGTTCACTACTAATTAAATAAATTCTACAAATCTAAAAGAACTGCGACAGAGAATTGTTGGGGAATGCGATTTCTGACTTCGGACATCTTCAATAATTATTGAAGATGTCCGAAGTAAGGAACGCTTTCGAAAGTAGACTGTATTATTGTCTGGAACTGAATGGAAGTCATTTTGAACACTTTATCCATTGATTGTGTTGCCATTGATATTAGTTTTATTGACTTACTCAATAAAATGAGCAACAGCGAATTTTCTGTTTTTTCTTAAATAAAACGTTCAACATTCAATTTCTCAATAAGGAATAAACCAATTTCGAAAAAACATTATAGAAGTAATAAAGGGACGAAAGACCTCTCAAATATGTATCATTCGACCCCCCATGCCATTGAAAAAAATAGGGAGGGGTAGTTGCTGTCCGCAGGCATCAGAATTAGTCCCTCTAGAAATGAAAATTGACGTGTTCTTTGTAATTTTTGATTACACATTCTGACTTACAGGGGGGGATCGAGTTTCTATTGAAACGCCCTGTATGTATGTACTGCATTCACTATGCACACAAATCTATGCTTACATACGGAGCAGTAAATATATTTTGAATAAAGAAATGCCAAGAACTTGGTCTAATTTAATCGAGCGCGTCAGATTTTCTAAGGGGGTATTAAGTGCACCCAAAACAAAGCTCTCATTCAATAATCTGACGATTTCGATCTGACGCAAACTCGCGGCCATCATTATGATTTGCAAACAAAATTCGCCATTTTGAAATACTCAAACGCGTCAGATTAAGATATATATGGTTCATCTTCATGTTCTAGACGTGCTGTCTTATAATCTGACGATGATCTAGAGGGATTCGCCTAATCTGACAAAGTAAAAATATTCTTTTAAATTTTTTCAAATCATTAAACTTAATTAAATAGCAGGAAATAGCATGCAAATAAATAAGTATATGTTTTTAAATAGAATACTTGTATTTATATGAAAATAATTGAAAAAATATGCTCAAAAAATTTAATTAATATTAGTGCACAACTTTTAACAAATTATTCACTGTATGTTATTGTCATTCAATTATTTTGTTTACATAGTACAGAATATCATTATTATATTTCTGTTTGTTTGTTCAAGTACAGATATTATGTTGAAACAATTACACTAAATTGTATTAAAAAATAACACGTACTATTACCACTGGCTTCTTAGCCTTAGTGATTGTCAATACCTTATAACTGTATTTTGTATTTCAGAACATGCAGAAATTTCAATGAAGAATACCTTCACTTCGTAAAAACAATAATAAAAAGTTTCCCACATGTTGCAAACTCAATTAGACACGCTGTATAATATTCAAATGAAAATCAATGCTGGTTGGAAATCAAACTTACTGTGTTCCCGTTCGATCCCAATTTCCATTTGGGATCTTTCGTGATCACAGCTCTCACATCGTTTTTGTAACTTGAGCTCTTGATGGATGCTTCCTTTGCATCAGCTACCAGGAGGGTCCAATAAGTGTTGAAGCCCAAAAAATCGAAGGTGCCATTAATGTAGTCAATTTCTTCTCTAGTGAATATCGGTAGACGAGATTCGGAGTAGTTCTCCAATGCAGATCTTTCTGCGATTCTGTCGATCACCACTTCAGGCCAGTCGCCGTTGAGGATTGGGTTGGCGTACAAACCAAACTGAAAATGATTGTTTTGTACTACTAAGTTTTTGTACTACTAAGTTTTTTGTACTACTAAGTTAACTAAGTTGAGTTATAACACATGGGCTGGAAAGTACCGGGCCTGAGGAAGAAAACGAGTTTTTTTTTGTTCACAATCATTTCAGCGCAGCTCTGACATTTCGAAACCACTTTTGTAGAACGATTTACATTTTGCCTTAAAATAGGCCTCAGATTCAGCAATAAACCCTTCATTCGAGCGGAATTTCTTAACGGTGCCAATTTTTTTGAGGCCTGCGAACAACCAGTAGTCGCTAGAAGCAAAATCTGGCGAATACGGTGAATGTAGAAGCAATTCGAAGTTCAATTCACAATAATAATAATAAATATTATTGCTTTTATTGATAGTAAACAAAATACAAAGGAAAATATACAGTCTGTCAGCAAAGTATGGAATAAATTCGATATTTTCAAAACCAAAGGTCGTTTTACAAAAACCTGAAACACGCCGATTTTTAATTTCAATATTCCACATTTTACAACAAAATTTCATTTTACAGGGTGATCCATATTAATGTGATGACGTCATCAGTAATTTTTATTTTCATCAGCATTTAAACAAAATTCCGATGACGTCATCACATTAATATTGATCAACCTGTCTAATGAAATTTTTTTGTAAAAGGTAGAATATTAAAATTAAAAATAGACGTGTTTCAGGTTTTTGGCTGTTTTGAAAATAACAAAAGTAGTGTCACTCTTAGCACGATAACTCACAAACCTATAAGTAGGTTAGTACTAACTTGAAAGGCGGTGAATGCAATTAGACCAGCGCCATCTATGAATGAATGAATACGTTTATTTAGGAAATCCTACTATACATACAATAATAATAATAATCAATAATAAGAATAAATCAGTAAA